AAAGAGTGCTAATTGTGCTGTCTTTGTGCCATAAACACAATGTGCCTTAAGCCTTTATATACAAGTAAACAACTACTCCATGACGTCATGATTTGTCATAAATTGGCCCCACACGCTTATTCAAATTAGGTGGGCTTCTATTTCTTCTTGGCAGTTTCACAACAAATATTTCCTTTTTTCTTAATTTGTTTTTCTTCATTTCATTTGGAAAATGAATACAAAGATAAGGGACTGAGGAAAATTAAGACATTTTAATACTGAAAATGCAAATTAAGACTAATATACCTTTGATGAATTAACATGCAAAAAAGATGCATTAAGGATACAAAAAACAGTTTTATAAGGGATCTTGGCATTTAAAATGCGAAGATGTCTTGATTTTTATTTTTCTCAAAAGAAAATATAAAATTTTTATTAATTCATGATAAATAATAACTTCAAAACATTAAAAACTGGGTATCCGTGGTCCTTTTGTTCGCCACCATATCCGTTTGCTGTCACGTTATCTCCTTCATTGATCCATAAATTCATGAATTAAAAGCCCTTACAATTTATGGCTTGTAATACTTCAATCCTACTTGCAATTCGATCCTTATGAATTGAAAAATAATTCACTTGTAATATATGATTTGTAATTATTTCTTGTTAGTCCCAATTTTTTTTTTTTACCATTACTCATAATTGCTCACATTTTGGATAAGACTGGATTTAATTTTTAGTTATTACTAATAAATAGTTTTTCTTATATATTAGGAAATATATTTGCATTTCAAGTAATAATATTTTATTTTATTTTTTATGGGAAACAAATTTCATTAATGTAATCTGGTTTAAATTACAGGATTGTCAGCAAGGGGAAAATGAAACAGACGAGACCATCACCAATCCTACCCAGCACTTGCTAGCATTTCATTAAACAAGTAGTAGTATTTTTATTTTTTATTTTTTTTATAGCAAATAGAGAAATAATACTTGTCTGGTTCAACTATTAAAAATATAATATAAGTGCAGTTGATTTAGTCAGTTCTTACTTTTTATGTGCATAACTATGTTCATAACTATGTTTTTAAGTTTGTCTATCTTTAATTTTATATTACAATATAATGATTTTTAATGAGTGTGTTGTATGGTGTGTTAAATTGGTGGATGTATTGATCAATATCCTTTTATAAAACCAAACATACTATTGTCATTTGTATTTCATTTTATGAACCGGGATGACATTGACTTAGAACTTAAACTAAATGTAAACATGTACTCTATTATTGATGGAGATGGTTATGATCCACTAATTTAGAAAAGTCATAAATACTATATTATTATGATAGTTATTGTCAAATTATTAAACATTCCCTTCAAATACGGCATATAAAAACAATTATGTTATTCTATGTTATGTAGTGGTAATTAATGGTGGAAATGCATTAATATATGATCATGCCAGTGGTTTTATCCTTTGCATTGTCATTCCTCCTTCCTCAATTTCTAAACGTGTAAAAAAAAAAAGGAAAGAAAGAAAAGCAATTATGTTAAGGGACCTTGATGTTCGTATCAGCTTTCACTATTAATTTTTTCGATGAGACTTATTGACTTAGTAATAACCCTTATATACATAATTTTTTCGATGAGACTTCTTGACTTAGCATTAACCTTCAATGTACAAAACCTTTTAGGAAATTTTTCTATTAATTTATGTTCTTGCCACCAAGTTAATTAATACTTTGGAGAAGGGTATTTTTTTAAATCTGAAAAGGAATAATAGAACGAATATCAGAGACACTTAAAAGAAACTCTGAAAAAATAAATTTTTTAATATTATGGTGATCATTATTTTATTAATATTATAAAATATACAATAAAAAAACAAATTACAAAATTGCAAAGTCTCATTTTAATACCCAAGGAAACATTGTTCGTATTATAGACGGCAAAGACCTTGACTTACAACATTGGCGTGGCTAGCAAAGACCAAAAACCTAACTTGCAATTTGGATATGATATCAAAGAGTAAAGACCTTGACTTACAAGATTGGCGGTGATAGCAAAGACCAAAAACCTTGACTTGCAACTTGGATATGATATCAAAGAGCAAAGACCTTGACTTACAAGATTGGCGGGGAGAGCAAAGACCAAAA